AAAATCTTGTTTCATATATGGGTTGAAATAATTTTCTTCTACTAGTCATGGCTTTGTCACCCCCAGGAGCTTGGGAGACACTGCACCCTGCCAAGTGTATTATATCAGGCCGATCAACAGGGAAGTGATTTTTCAATTTGATGTTAGAAGCACAGAAATGTTTTTGAGCTTCAGTTTCCAGTTGTGATTCAGTTTGAGAACTCTGGCTAGGGTTGGAATGGTAGGCACAGACACAGCTAGAAATGGGAAAAGAAGATGGCGGCCATGGCTTATTCCAGTACAACTGAAATACAGGTTAAATGGTTGTTCTCATAAGCACTGCTACAGTCCAGAGATGTTCCAACCCCCAGATTTCAAGGAGTCCTGTGTTTACCTAACCCATTTTGGATAATTTCTTGTACTCAGTGTTCATGACACTCAGCAAGGAAACTAGGACACCAAGGAGCTATAGGTATGACTCAGCTGCTGGGTAAGGGGAATCATTTATCTTCCTTCCCCTCTGAGTTTGGACTAAAGAGCATCTGAAAGGACTAAGTGTACCTGTATGAAAACTAATCAGGAAGACTACATGCTCTTGAAGTGCTGACTGCCTGGAAAGCTCTCTCTGTACTATCCTCACTCTTTTCCTCCCCTTTTGGTTTATCTCATTGCCTCTACCTCATTTCTCAAGTGAGTTTTCCAAGTTAGCATGAGTACTCCATGGCTTCAGTGCAAAAAGAACTATAGTTTTCAAGTGCTCTTCAAATATTTGGTGGATGCATGTTTTCCCTGAGACCTTTCAAGTCTCAATATGTTGGGAGATATATGAATACTTTTTTTTTTTTTGGCAGGACTGGAGTTTGAACTCAGGGGCTCAAGCTTGCTATGCAGGTGCTTTACCAGTAGAGCCACACCTCCAGCTCTTTTTTGCTTTAGTTATTTTTTAGATAGGGTCTTGTGTTTTTATCCAGGGCTGGCCTCAGACAGCAGTTGTCCTACCTGTGCCTCCTGTGTAGCTGGAATTATAGGTGTGAACTGCCATGCCTGGCCTTAACACTTTTGTGTCCAGGAAAATTTAAAGTGTAGAGAGCAGCTCAGCCTTGGAGATACCCTCCCAGTGATCCTGTTTCTTGGCTACCAGTATAAATACAAGTTTCTGCTGCCACAACATTTCCAAATTAGCAGAAGGAAAATATACTTATCAGTGGTAAATGCCTTTAAAAGTAACACATACTGTTTTTCTAATTATAAAATTAATATATCCCCACAGAGAATTTGGAAAGCTCAAAGATGCTTATAGAATAAATTAAGTCACTCTGTTTTGGTAAGTTTGTGCCCAAAGCTTTTTAAAGAAGATAAGACCCTCTTCTAAAGAAATCTGGTTTTCTTGTTCAGTTATTTGTCTTTTCTTTAAGTATCTATATTGTACTATAGATACTCTCTATTGCCATAAACTCAGAATACCAAATCACGAACTTCTGTAATTAATAAAACAATTAATTTATTCCACAGACCCTGATGACTTGGTTTTCTGATAAGAGCTATCATGGTCCCAAAAAACCAAAAATCATATGTTCTCCCTCATATGCAGACATTAGATCAAGGGCAAACACAACAAGGGGATTGAACTTTGAGCACATGATAAAGCGAGAGCACACAAGGGAGGGGTGAGGATAGGTAAAACACCCAAAAAACTAGATAACATTTGTTGCCCTCAACTCAGAGAAACTAAAGCAGACACCTTAAAAGCAACTGAGGCCAATAGGAGAAGGGGACCAGGAACTAGAGAAAAGGTGAGATCAAAAAGAATTAACCTAGAAGGTAACACACACACACAGGAAATCAATGTGAGTCAACTCCCTGTATAGCTATCCTTATCTGAACCAGCAAAAACACTTGTTCCTTCCTATTATTGCTTATACTCTCTCTTCAACAAAACCAGAGATAAGGGAAAAATAGTTTCTGCCTGGTATCGAGGGTTGGGGGGGTAAGGGAGGGAGCAGAGGGGTAAGGGAGGGGGCAGGGGCAACAGGGGAGAAATGACCCAAACATTGTATGCACATATGAATATAATAAAAAAAGAAAAAAAAAGAGCTATCATGGTAATACAGTGCCTAATAAGTTAGCTTAGATAGCTTGCACCTAATATCATAAATATTATGTCAAAGGAGAAAAGAAGTAAGTTTCTATAAACAATTCTCTTCCCACTGAGGAACATGATAAAAACCTTTTGGAAAGATTTGGAATGCAGCTGGCTACAGTTGCACAAAGTGAGAGATTCATGTACCTAGTAGCTCAGTGGATTTCTAGGAAGAGTGGTCTCTGGCTTTAGCCTTGTTTGCTGAGTTCATCGTGGTGGTGGTGCTAATATTACCCAGAGGAACTTTTTTGTATTCACCTGAGCATCAGCTCAGCAGTCTATCTTTCCAAATTACATTGGAAATCATGTGCTTAAAATCCACTGATGGAGTCTTTTGGCACAATTTGGGGGCGGGGACTTCTTAGTCTGTTGGCATGTGTTTGTGGGTGGCAGTTTCTTTTTTAAGCAAGAACAGTGCACTATACTGATGGGCCAAGTCTAGCAGGGTAATGCCTCTAAGAATCATGATGGAAACAAGTGCTCCTTATCTATTAAGTACATAAAAAAGTGTGTCTGTGAATGGCCAATGAGCATTTCCCTATGTGTAATGCACTTGTGTAGGGCTGTGTGTAATGTCCCTGTGAGAGGGACATAGGTCAAGGCCCATTGAATTAGAAATTTAAAAGCACATACATAAAACTTGCCTGAGGGTCAGAGGGGACTTCTAGGAATGTGTGTTATCCAAGTCTGAAGCTTGCAATGGAAGCAGAAGCAGGGTGTGGGTGGTGGTTCCTGGGAATGAGGCTGCTGCAATATTACATGTGTGCAGTACTCTGTGGTCCTCAAAATCTGCAATCTGTTGCACGACTTTGTCAGGCCTAAGAAGTCATAGAAGAGGGAGTTGTGTTTGCTTTGTGCCTTACATAACTCTTCATTGTAATGCTTTGAAACGAGAGTCTATGTCTTGGTTAAAGAGCATGAAAACATTTCACTTGAAGTATCTGAGTGAAGTGCTAAGCATTCCAAAGAATGCTCATTAACAGTTCTGGAGAGGGTGCCCAACACTCCCTAAACGCTGCCTTGTGTGTCTGGCCACCTGGTTCTCAGATTTTCGTCCATGCCAGGAAACCCAATTAAAAGATAAAGCCCACAGGGACTGGAGGCATGGCTCAAGTGCTAGAGCGCCTGCCTATCAAGTGAAAGGTCCTGAGCTCAAACCCCTGTACCACCAAAATGGTGATGATGGTGGCAAAGCCCACAAACTAGAAGATGCCCCACATGTCTGCAAGAGTTCTAAAGAATCTTGTCACATGAAAGAACCAAGCAGTGATGTCAGGTAGACCTTATTCAGCCTGGCTTTCTCAGCTCAGTGTTTTCTCTGGACCATCGTCATTTCACTTACAAAGCAGGTTAGCACCTGCTACTTTCCCCATCTCCACTACACTTCCCTGGGATAAGCCAGGATCCCACTATACCTGGCCACTGTAGAGCATCCTAACCAGTCTGCCCACTTTGATTCTTAGAGCCTCACTAACATTCATTCCTCACCTTGGAGTGCTGTGACCCATCTTGTTTGCTTGCTTATTTGTTATTGTCTCTCCGACCTCCAGTCCAGAAAGCAGGCTTTGGGGTCTGTGTTACATCCTTAGGGCTGAGACATCAGCTCTTGCCTGGTTATTCTCACTGTTTCCTCCCCGCTCTGTTCCCTCTGGTATTCTCTTTCTCTCATTCTCATTAGCAGTTTTTTCCCGAGCTAGTCTGAAACCTAGGGTCTAGTGTGAGTTCTGCTTTTTTCCTGTGGCCCTTACTGAAGAAGTCACTTAATGTCTCTAATTTTGTTTCCTACCTGTGTGGAAGGATGTATTGATTGGCCAGGGCTGCAGTCACAAAGTCCCACAAACTGGGTGGTTAAAACAACAGTTTATTTTCTTACTATTCTGGAGCCTTAAAGTCAGAGAGCAAAGTTGGTGACTTCTGAAGCCTCTGTTCTGGCTTGTAGATGACACATTCGCAGAGTTTTCTCTTTGTGTGTGACTGTGTCCTAATCCCTTTTTATGAAAACACCAGTCATATTGGATTAGGGCCCACCCTAATGGCTGAATTTTCTCTTAATAACCTCTTTAGAGTCACTGTCTATCTCCCTTAGTCACCGTCTGAGGTCCTGGGGGGTTAGGATGTCAACATATGCATTGGGGGGAGAAGAGACACAGTTTAGCTCCTGACAGAGGAGAAGTAATGAATGATATCCAAGATCCCCCCAGCTGTACAAAATTATATTTTAAATTGAGGGTCTTTCTCCTCACACCCATGTCCACTTCCACTCTCCTGAGGTAACAGCTTGGTGCAATTGCTTCCTAATTTTTTTTTTTCTTTGAGAGTAGTCTGCTAAGCTGTGTAGTCAGGCCTTGAACTCACAATCCTTCTGCTTCAGTCTCCAGGGTAGCTGGGATTACAGAAAGGCATCATGTCATGGGTCTCCTAATTTTTAATACTTATACATCTCACCTGTACTTTTGAAGGGTTTAAAAGTGTGTGTGTACAGCTGAAAAAAAAACAGAACTTTAAAAGTCTGAAATAACAAAAGGAAAGGTTACTTAATGACTGACGTATTTTAACTGATAATCCTTTACTTCTGACTTATTTTGTTGTCATAACACAAAATCATATAGAGCATTACTTTTTAATGCTGGAAAATCAGGAGCAATGCAAATCAAGCAAATAATATATTCACTCTATTGTTTCTTACTTTATAAACATTAAACTATATATATATAAAAGCTGTGTATACCTAGCTATAATATAAATATGCACAATTGAAATGGGAGAATTAAAAAACTATGAAATGCAACAGAACGTGTCTGAAGGGAGGAGGTTTAATCTCTTTTTCTTCCTGTATAATGTTTGATGTGTACAATAATTTTTTTTTTTTGCTCTTCCACAGTTGGAAACCGACAAACTGGCTCTCCCAGTGAGCCCTAGCCCGCTCAGTCCGAGTCCCATCCCCAGTCCTAACATGAAACTTGAGAACTCCACTCTCTTGACAGTGGAGCCTTCCCCGCTGGACAAGAACAAGGGCTTCTTCGTGGACGAGTCTGAGCCCCTGCTCCGCTGTGACTCCACCTCCAGTGGCTCCTCAGCACTGAGCAGGACCGGGTCCTTTATTACCAAAGGTACCACCGTGGGGTATTTGCCCCAGAACAGCCCCTGGGGGTTCACCCTGGCCAGTTCCACATTCTAGTAGTAGCTGAGTCATTTGAGTGACCTGTCCAGGAAGACTTGTCCTAAACTCTAAGGTGAGACCAGCCTCAGGGAGACTAGGTTCTTGGCCAAAATGGACACACCTAGAAAATCCTTGCAGCTCGGACTTCCTGGCAGGGCTTGAGTGGAGACGTGTGTCACCCTTTGTCCTCATGATGCTATCAAATGTCTGTTTCGGGGAAAGTCTGATAAAAGGTAGTCTGATAGGCTTTTTGAAAATTATTTACCAAGCTTGCTAAATCTAAGGATTTAAAGTATAACCTACCTTGAGAGTCAGATGTACAGTTTCAGTGAGTAAAGTTGATCCTAAGAGTCTCTCTAAGCTTGACTGCAAATGTTTTAAAGATAACAGATTGGTACTTTGAGCAAATAATTGGTTACTTTTGATTTTTACTTGCAGGGGAGGGAATTAGAATGCTCATTATATTGATGATAGGTTTTGGCTTGGTTGGTTTTTAGGCAATTCCATTTATATTTTAGTGAAAGGGTTTTTAAAATATATCTCATATTTATTCATTTTTAAATTATCTCATATTATATACTTAATGTATTTATTTTAATCTATTTTATATTTATGTGGACCATAATACTTGTATTTTAGAGAAAGTGTTTTGTAATTTTAATCACAGTTACAGTTCCTCACACCAATTGTAAGGTGTGATCAAGAAGCAATATTTTCTCATTTATGTACTTTTTCTCTCAAAAGGGGTGGGTCACTGTATATCTTTGTTTAGTTAACACATTACAGTGAGAAAAGTAAATAAAAGTTACATTTTTTTCTTTAAGTATTTCAACATTCTTCTGAGTTTCAGTAGAATTTAGAAGTCATTTAAAGCCAGGCAAATGTCACATTAAAGACTCATTCAAGAAGGTCCTTGTCTGATCTTAGCAAATCCTATTTGCTCTCTTATGTACAATGCAAGTAAAACCTTTTGTGTTGTTTAAAATGTTCCAGAGGACCACATAGTCACTTTAGGGGCTGGATAAGCTGGTGAGAGGGTAGACAACACTCTCAAAGCAAACCCCTCACCCACCAACATAGTCCCTTTCCTGAATCTCCTTCCCTTTCCTCTCTTCCTTGCAGAAAAGAAGGACACAGTGTTACGGCAGGTGCGCCTGGACCCCTGTGACCTACAGCCAATCTTTGATGACATGCTGCACATTCTGAATCCTGAGGAGCTGCGGGTGATTGAAGAGATTCCCCAGGCTGAGGACAAGCTGGACCGGCTATTTGAGATTATTGGAGTCAAGAGCCAAGAAGCCAGCCAGACTCTCCTGGACTCTGTTTATAGCCATCTTCCTGACCTGTTGTGACATGGGGATACTGCATTTTGGAAATCAGCTTAGTGGCAGGGTGGTTTTATTTTGGTTTTGACTTTATTTTCTTTTTTTTTTTTTTTGGTGTGTGTGTGTATGTGTTTAACAGAGTACACAGCAAGTGCTTGAGTTCTTTTTTTTTTTTTTCCTTTCATTTTTTTAAAAAACCCTTCTGGGAAGTTAGTTTATAAGTCTTGTCTTTTCAAGATATAACTGTTGCAAAATACCCACCACTAAAGTTTTTTAAGTTCCATATTTTTTCCTTTTTTTTGCCTTCTTATGTATTTTCAAGATTGTTCTGTGCACTTTAAATTCACAACTTACCTGTGCAGTGTGGCTTTTCCTACACACTGGACAGAGAGGTCTTAACGTCTTAAAAGTGTACTGGCATCTTGGGAATTCTATAAACAGTCTTCATGTCTTTCAACAGCCACGCCTAACTGTTTTTTAAAAAATTATTACTGTTTGTATTATTTTTTGTCCTTCACAAATGTTCTTCAAGATTAAGCAAATTTAAGACCATGTTGAGTTACTGTAATGCAGTTAGACTTTGAGTTATCTTTTTTAACACGTCTTGTTGTATAGTTCATATTCATGGCCGAAACTTGACCACACTATTGCCGATTGTATGGTTTTCACCTGGACACTGTTTAGAGTGCTTGACTACTTGTGCTACTCTCAATGCTAACATGCTCTGGACTGGAGAAATGAAATCCTTAAGCCATCAGGACTTGCTAATTCAGTGGCTTGGCAACTGGGCTGCCAAAGAACTTAAACTTCATCTTTTTACGGACTGAGCTGTTCTAAAACACATTGCTGCACTTTGGAAAGTCAACATGTGTGCCAGTAGCACCTTTTCCATAGAGGATTTGCCCAGCTTTGCTTTAAAAGATGTCTTTGTTTTTATACACACATGGTCAGTAGGTCCAGTCTGTCCTCAAAGGCCTTGCTGGGTTTCTTTCATCATTCAATCACTTTAATTAAAAATGGCTGCAGCTATAAGAATTCTTGTCTGATATATTTGCAACTCTGCTCCCATTTATAAACCTGCCCTCTAATACTCAGTTACCAGATTCTAATACAAAGGTGGTGTGGACTACCTTTGTATGGGTGGGATTTGTGGATAGAAGTGAGGGACCGATGATCAGAAAAATGCCTTCAAGTGTACTAATTTATTAATAAATATTAGGTGTTTGTTACCTGAGTTGTTTGAGTGTGTTTAATCTTCAACACTCTTGCCTTATACTCTGTGCTTAGGTTGTAACCCTGGGATTGGAAAAGAATGTGTATTTTAAAATCCTCAGCCTCTCCAATCTGTAAATCATATAAATTAACAAAGATTCTGTCTGGAAAGATTTATAGAGAAGGATGCTAGTGAAAATTACCAACTACTTCCTGGTCTTTTGAGTTAAACTTTAGGTTCCTGTTTTTGATTGTCCTTATTTTAAGAATTGAGGACTTGGAGGTATAGATGTGAAGAGGTACAAAGAGTGTCAAGGTCTAGCAGTTCATTCTTATTCATTTCCCTCTGAGAAATTTGCCAGTCATGGCAGGGTCTGTACATATTTACAGTGAAACCTCATTGTCCCTGAACTGCAGAGGGCTTTTGTGGTAGAGAGGCAGGAAGAAGTCTTATGTTGGTGGCATATACAGTATCATTATTCAGTGTATGTCCTCCTAAGCTTGAGAGCCCTGGCTCAGAACCTCAGCAACTGCAAGTTCCTCTTCCAGAGAGAAACTGGAAGTGATGCCCTGCCTGTGAACTATGGCCATGTCAGCAACGTTAAGGGTTGTTCTGGTTTTATCCACTTCCACGTAGTTGCTTTCTGGAGAAGCATCTTGGTGTTTGGTTTTACTGGTTCTCACACTGGGTTTCCCCTCCTTTTGTTGGTAGAAGAGAAGACTCTGTCACCAAAGAAACCAAACTAGACCAGGTCAGAGATGGCAGTGGTAACAGATTTTTTGTTTTTCACAGGATTTTAGGACAGCCACTTATTTTATGTGGGAGTGGAAATCATAATGAATGAGTCAACCTTTTGGTTAAGTTTGGAGATTATGTGTAGTTTGTGGGTGCTTTTATTCCCAGCCTACATTTACAGGTTTATACTTTGCCTAATGCTTTTTATTTTATTGAACCCTCACAACTGTCTTATAAAATAGGTAGTATTATTGTGCCCATTTCACACATGAAAAGGGGCTTATAAAGTTAAGTATATTGGACAGCTTTTTGTCATTGTGACAAAATACCTGCACCAAAGTCAACTTAAGAGTTGGACACTGGTGGTTCATGCCTGGCCTATAATCCTAGCTACTGGAGAGGCAGAAGTCAGGTAGATAAAGGTTTGAGGGCAGCCTAGGCAGCTAGCTTGCAAGATCCTATCTTGAAAGTACCCAACAGTTGGGTGCTGGTGGCTCACACCTGTAATCCTAGCTACTTAAGAGGCAGAGATCAGGAGGATTGTAGTTCAAAGCCAGCCTGAAGCCGATAGTTCACAAGATCCTACCTCAAAAAACCCAATACAAAAATAGAGCTGGGTGGAGAGGCTCAAGTGGTGGAGTACCTGGCTAGCAAGCCTAGCAAGCATGAGGCCCTGAGTTCAAACCCCAGTTCTGCCAAAACCAAACAACAAAAATCAACTTAGGGGAAGAAAGGCTTATTTTGACTCATGGTTTCAATCCATGGTCTGCTGGCTCCATTGCTTTTTGTCCTGTGGCAAAACATGATGGAAAGTGTTGGTAGAGGAAAACTGCTTGCCTCGAGGTGGCCAGGAAGCAGAGAATAAGACAGAAAGGGTGCAGGGACATGCAATACCCTCAAAGACTCATCCCCTGTGACCGCTTCTTCCAACTAAGCCCCACCATCTAATGACCATGCAGGCAAGAACTCACCAATGGATTGATCCATTGATGAGGTTAGTGTCCTCAAGATCCAGTCACCTCGCAACTGCACCACCAACTCGGGACCAAATCTTCAAAACATGAGCCTTTTCGGCTCATATCCAAACCACACATTGACACTTGCTTAAGGCCTCATAGCAAAGTTATAAAGTTATAATAAAGACTCATCCAAGTTTTCTAATTGCCTGAATCCAAGACTGTTCATTCCACTTAAGACTGGAAGCCAGAAATCCTTTGTGGGCTCCAACAGTGGGCATAGATTGCAGTGATGAAATTTATCTGGGTTACAAATAAAGCACATGCAAGTTCAACAAGTAACTGAGGAAGTATGGGGATGGGGTGATATGTGTTGATTGCCCATGGAAAAAGAACATAGGACTTGTAGTGAAACAGAAGTTTAATATCGAGCTAACATCTAGGGCAAGGCCCTGAGTTCAATCTCCAGTGCTGGGGACAAAAAAAAAAAAAGCTAACATGACACATAGCTTTTCTAGAAAAGAATGCAATCTCTAGGTATATTACTAAAATGTACAGAGCCCTGTGTAGTAGCACACACCTGTATTCCCAGAACTGGGAAGGCTGAGACAGGAGGATCACAATTTGAAGATAGTCTGTCTGAAAAGATCCAAAACAATAATGATAATAAAAACTGAAATACACAAAGTTCTGGTCAGAACTGATGGCAGTCTCATTGCATTTTGGAACTCTTCTCTGGTTTGGACTGCCTTATTTTGAGGAATGCGGCTGAACTGGAAAGTTTCCCATGTGTGGCGGGTAGTGGGAGGAAAACCAGAAGAATAAAACAAAATCAGGAGCAACTGTTAGGAAATATAAGCCAGGCAGTGAAGATCATGCAAGCAGGAGAAAGATTGGCTTCAGTAATTTGAAGGGCTAAAGAAGAGACAATTTTTCTTTAGAGAATAATAGAATTTCCTCTGGGCTGATTTAGGCTAAATTCAATTAGATGAGGCTGCTCTTCAAGGACAGTGAGTCTTATACTCAGGGAAAAAGTTGGACACGCATCAGAGGTTCTCAAACTTTCATGTTAATAATCACGGGAGGATGAGTAGGCTGTTCACTGATTTCCAGAGTCCTATTCAGGAGGTTTGAGGTGAAATCCAGAATGAGCCTCCCATATGAGTCTTTGGGCCATGCTTAGAAAACTATCATTAGAGAGTTTAGATCCTTGCCACTGAGATCCTAGGACCAGCAACGTCTGTAACACAGGGAGCTGGTTAGAAATGCATCATGGCAGGCCACTTTGCTGTGCCAGTGAACACCTGCGGGTCATGTTAAAAAGCAGGTTGTTCTGGGGAATGGGTCAGAGGCTGGATCCTCTAAAAAGCTCTCGGGTGATGTGAGCACTGCTGCTTTTTCTGTGACATAGGGTAGCCTGAGATGATGCCTTGGTATCATGGAAAGGGTAGCACTAATAGAGAAGGTCACACCAATTCCAGGTGAGGGAGGAAAACAAAGTCTAATGTTTCAAAAAGATTTCCAGAACAAGCCATTCAGGTCAAAAGCTAACCAGCAAGAGAGCTCTGAGAAACACAGTGCATAGGCCATCCTCCAGACTGATGATGATGGCAGAATCCCAGGGAATAGGATGCAGGCAGAGGCATTTTTTTAAAGCTCCCCAGGAAACCCCAATGTGTAGTCAGCTTGGAGAACCACGTATTTAAGAGCTTGGGAAGAGAAGAGTTCTCAAGCCTCATCTAAGAGCCGGTGACTAAGTCTTCCAGGGCGTTAAACTTAGGAATCTATAATTCATAAGCGCTTTTGTTATCTCTGTGGACTTACTTTAGTATACTTTACTTACTCATATCCCAACAGTGAGATTTTATGTAACTGTGTGATAGCTTTATGTCACTATGATGAAATAATCCACTTATAAGGAAGAAGGACTTATTTTGGCTTATGATTTCAGAAGTTTCAGTCCATGGTCATTTGTCCCTATTGCTTTGGGCTTGTAGTGGCACAGAGTATCAAGGTGGACTGGGTGGCAGAGGAAGCCTGTTCATTTCATGGTAGGCCAAGAAGCAAAATACATAGGAAGGGGCAGGATCCCATATCCTCTTCAAAGGCATAGCCCCCAATGACCTAACATTGTTCCACCAGGCCCCACCTCCTAACA